GGAGCTGGTTCAAGTCCTGGCTGCCCTGCTTCTGATACAGCTCCCTGCTAAAGTGCCTCAGAAAAGAGCGGAAGATGGCCCAAGTACTTGGGCCCCTGCCACCCACTTGGGACATAAGGACAGAGTTCCTGGCCCCTGACCTCAGCCTGGCCCAGCCTGGGCTGTTGTGGCCATTTGGGACTTGAACCTCTGCATGAAAGATCAATCTCTATTTCTCTCTCTCTCTCCCCCAGCCCGCTTCTGTCTGTCTATCTCTGTTTCTCCATCACTCTGCTTTTCATATATACATCTTTTTAAAAAAAGAAATTTTGCATAAAAATGTGACAACACCATATGTGAACATTTACAATAAGGTACTGAGTCCTGTGTTGGAAGCCTAATGATTTCAGAGCCTTTTGTGTCTGCTTATTTTTAATAATTTCCATGTAACATCCTGGTGTTAGCCATCAACCCCTTCCGCTTTCTTGACAAGAGAATCATTACAAGAATATGAGCAAACAGCCCTTGAAGAAGGGTTGGGTTAGGAGATGCGAGAGGCGATTTCGGTGGAAAGAAACATTGAAAAGTTCTTTATGTCAAAACATTTCTTGCCTTTCTTGAAACCCTTTTCTGAGCAGGCTGTCCACATCGAAAGCTGCTTCTTCAAGTTAAGAAAGTGTCATTTTATCAGCACATGTTACAGCCTAATTCTTGGTCTTTCCTTTTTTATCCCCCCACACACACACTCCACCCCACCTTTCCCGTGTGTCCCCTGTCCTCCTGGGCAGGCACACATAAGACCCCAAGTGTGGGAGCAAACTGCTGACGGACTGTGAATGACATTCTAATAGTCTTTAGCAGTTCAAGCTCTCGGTTAGCATGAGTTAATGCATAAAATCTTAATACTCCTTAAAAAGAACATATGTTGCAATCTCAGAGCCTTGTCAGGCACACTCTAATCTGTTAGCAATTTCAGGCTGGCTAGAGCTTGTTCTTGGCTGCGTATCTGTCTCTGCAGTTGTCTTCTCTATATCCTGTGCGAGTTCAAAGCCTGCTGATGGCTTTACACAGCACTCATCTTGGGTTGTCTCATATGAATGCGCTCACTGATTTCATCCTGTGGACTGAGACATGCCACACAGGTGTGTTCCCATCACCCTGGCACATTCATTCTACTCCACGCCATCCTCCCTCTGCTCTCAGCGGAGGGATAACTGACTCAGAAAGTAGGGCATTGCAGTGTGGGGATTGCACGCTCAGTTGTTGGCTAACAAGGCCCCATAGTTTTTATTTAGTGAGGCCCGGTAGCAGGAGATGAAGAATTGTGCAGGGCCCAGCTGCCACGGCTACAGACAAGCAGCTTAAAGGGCATCAGGGTTCCAAGTGTGAAAACTGTCTTTTCCCAGCAGGTAAGGGGTAGATCGACACAGGGTCTGTTATGTTCAAAGCACTGACTCTGCTGGCTGTCGCTCCCCCTCTTCGTGGAGGAACGACACAGGACCCTGCGCTGTTCTTTCGTCTGCTCGGCCCTCCCCGGGTTTGCTGCTGGTTCTTCCCGGGTTGGCTACCATCCCTTCCACCTCCGTGGAAGGGCAGTTCCCCCTGGCCGCATTCCCCACTTCCGCAGGGGAGCGGCACACCGCCGGCCGGCTCTCTGGGGGGCTGCACGGGTTCCCTTAGATGTTCCCCATAGATGTTCCTGGTGCATGCCGTCTCTCTCCTCCTTTATAGTCCTCCTCCGCCAATCCCAACTCGGCTGCCCACACGCCGAGTACGCTGCTCTCCTCCAATCAGGAGCAAGTCCTACAGTTAATTGGTTGAACTGGAGGCAGCTGTGCGGAAGCTGTTTACTTCTCTCCCAGCGCCATATTGTGGGAGAGCAGATGCATAGAATAAGTCTTAATTCCAGTAACAGTCTAGTCCGAGCTGCTCCCCACAGATCCCCCTTTCTTTTTATTTTTTTTGGCGTTGATACGCGCCTGTCTTCGGTGTCCCGCAGCACACACTCTGCTCTACTTGCTAGAGTTGCCACAGGCTCTTACAAGTCCTATCCATCAGGCAAACCGAATCCGGGTCCTCTCTTCGCCATGTTGTGAGGAGGTTTTTAGGCGCTGATGCGTGCCTGTGTTCGGTGCCCTGCAGCGCATACTCTGCTCTGCTAGAACTGCCTGCAGGTGTTTACAAAACCTATCAGGCAAACCGAATCCAAGCCTTCTCATTGCCTTATTGTGGGGGAGACTTATTAGTGTTGGTTCGTGCCTATCTTCGGTGACCTGCAGCTCATACTCTGGTCGAGCTTTGCTGGCGCTTACCGCCTTAAATCAGGCAGACCGAATCCAAGCCTCCTAATTGTTGCATTGTGGGGAAGCTTTACTGATGTTAATTCGTGCCTGTCTTCGGTGACCTGCGGCTAGCCGCCCAGGTGCTCATCGCCTCACTAATCGGGCAGACCGAATCCAAGCCTTCTAATTGGCATGTTGAGGGGAGGCCTTTCTATTTCTCTATTTATCTCCGGGCATTCCTATTTCTCCCATTTTATTTCTATCTTCCAGCATTCCTATTTCTCTCACTTTGCTTCTAAACTTCTGTTTCTCTTATCCCTGCGGCTTTCCGGCACCTCGCCCCGCCGGCGGGTTCCCGGCTCTGCGCCGCTTCAGCCCGCGCGCCTCTCTCATCTGCGCAGCTTCCCGGCTTTGCGGGGCTCGGCTTCGCGCGCTCCGCGGTTTCCACGCTTAACCCTTTCGCGTCTGAACCACGGCCTACGCCAGCGTTCCCTATCTATTCACGCCCCGTGCTCTCTCTGCACGCGGCGGCTTCCGCGAGTAACACAGCGTAGCTTGCGTCTCCACCACTAGCATTCAATCCAAGTTCCCCGGGCTAGCCTGGCGAATTCAACCCAGCGTACGTCTCCGCCCCACGATTTGGCTTCCCGTCCTTTGCTCCCCGGGCTAATCAGACGGATCCCAATCTGGCTTACGTCTCAGCTTCTGGTTTCAACTTTTCGCCCCCTATTCCCGGGCTAACTTGAGAATCCCAAAGTGGCTTTCGTTTCCGCCTTGGCCTGCCCCCCGCGGCTTCAATTTCCCTAACATTTTTCTCTACCCGGTATGTTTCCCCAAGCTTTCCTCCAACGATATTCCTCCCTCATTTCTCCTGGCCTCTCCCCACAGTCCGCGTCCGAGTCTGTTTGTTCTAGCTTTCACTTTCGCTTTCGACCTTAAAGATTTCTCCCAGCTTCCCCCCGTAGTCCGTATCCGAATCTATGCCTAGGCTTTCAATAGCTTCTTCCGGCTCCTTTTTCGTCCGGCTTTTCCCTAGGCTGTTTGCTAGTCTCTCTCTCCGGTATTTTCCCAGTTCTTCCCGTTTCTTCCCTCCTAAGTTTGCTATCCGTTCTAGGTTTCCTAATCCAAGTCATTTCTTCCCTCCTAAGTTTCATATTCGTCCTAAGTTTCCTATCCGAGTCACGGCACCATTATGTCGCTCCCCCTCTTCGTGGAGGAACGACACAGGACCCTGCGCTGTTCTTTCGTCTGCTCGGCCCTCCCCGGGTTTGCTGCTGGTTCTTCCCGGGTTGGCTACCATCCCTTCCACCTCCGTGGAAGGGCAGTTCCCCCTGGCCGCATTCCCCACTTCCGCAGGGGAGCGGCACACCGCCGGCCGGCTCTCTGGGGGCTGCACGGGTTCCCTTAGATGTTCCCCATAGATGTTCCTGGTGCATGCCGTCTCTCTCCTCCTTTATAGTCCTCCTCCGCCAATCCCAACTCGGCTGCCCACACGCCGAGTACGCTGCTCTCCTCCAATCAGGAGCAAGTCCTACAGTTAATTGGTTGAACTGGAGGCAGCTGTGCGGAAGCTGTTTACTTCTCTCCCAGCGCCATATTGTGGGAGAGCAGATGCATAGAATAAGTCTTAATTCCAGTAACAGTCTAGTCCGAGCTGCTCCCCACAGCTGGCCAATTCATAAATCCAAAAGAAGACAACAGCTTCCGGTTGGGAGGAGCATTTGGTGGTGTCTTTAACCCTTTTAATGCCAGGACATAATACTTCCTACTTGTTGCCTGTCTTTCAGGGGACATTTTTGTGTTGAAAGTGTCATTTTAAAAGTACAGTTCTCCTTTCTGGATCTCCTTTTAAGTTAAAACGTATTAGACCAGGTAATTAATTATCTGTTTAGTGAAATCTAGTCAGTCAATCCTTTTACTTTTGCTGCTCTTGTATATTTCTGTTGGTGAATTTTTTCACGTGGTTGGTCTAAAAGAATCAGAAAGACCTGAGCCTTATGTGCTGTATGTATGCCTGTGGGTGAGAGAGAGAGAGAGAGCATGTGCACACATGTATGGTATCACTTCTCAGTTTATGTAACCTTTTTTTTTAAGATTTATTTATTTATTTTGAAAGTCAGAGTTACAGAGAGAAAGAGATCTTCCATCCGTTGGTTCACTCCCCAGATGGATGCAAAGACCAGCACTGGGCCAGGCAGAAACCAAGAGCTGGAACTTCATCCAGATCTCCCACATGGGTACAGGGGCCCAAACAGTTGGGCATCTTCTGCTGCTTTTCCCAGCCCAGTAGCAGGGAGCTGGATTGGAAGTGGAGCAGCCAAGACTCCAAATGGTGCCCGTGTGGGATGCAGCCGTCACACAACACCCGCCCCCTATGCAACTTGGTAAATATTTAAACTTAAGAATATAATTTTGGGGAAGTGAGTGGTCTGGTGAATTTGCTCTGCTTTATCTGTGAAAAGAAGTTTGCTAATTCATAAAGGCTCTGAAAAGAAACACAAAGAACAGTGTCTGTCCTACTAAGCAAACCGCTTTCAAGCATGTTTGAATCACACTTGGTGTGCTAAGCCCTGGTGAGCCTGTAGAAGGCCTCCACTTGATGAAGTTAGCCTTCTCCTTGCTCCAATGTCTTAGGGAAAATTAACGTCCTCTGTCTATTTAGTGCTAATAGAATTATAGCATTAGAATTTGATTTTTGATTCAAGTACATCTTTTTTTTTTATTGTGATAGACACAAGGTTGACGTTTCTTGATTCTTGCTTTATTAATGCATAAACCGAAGGGCACAGAAGTCATGAACGTTTCCTGTTTCATGCTGGCACCATTCTGGTCCATGAAGCAGAAGTAACTCACTCATCCACCAGGCGCTCCCTCCTGCCATGTGTTGCTGCTTTAGCGTTCAGCCTTTTGCTGTCATGCCCACCCTGTAGTTGCAAGTCTGGTGGCAGCATTCTCTTCACAGAATCCATTTGTTTCTGAGCCTATGCCTGAAGCAGAATAGCCCTGTTAGAAGTGCCTTGCCGTTATTCACATCCAATCATTACGATTCTAGTCATACTCTTATTCATGCAAAATGGAACTTCACCTACCTAGGGTATTTGGTTAACCTCTTGAGTTGGGGGCTGAGTCTGAGTATCTGTAACTCCAGAGTTATAATAGGATTCCATTTAAAAACATGGATTTTTTACAAGAATACTTACAGAAAATGTAATTGAAGGGTAAGTTTATTTTGGTACAAAAGATTTTGAAATCCATGCATATATATGGTCCTCAAAAAATCGATGGAAAATGTGTTATGAAAACACTATTCATAGATTTCCAACAGTTTTTGCACCAAAATGAACCTATCTTTTAATTTCATTTTCCATAGACTTTTTGAGTGTTTGGAAGCCCTTGTGTTTCCTCATTTTTGTTTCTCTGGTTGAGTTTTTAAGTGTTATGGTATGGGTGTCATACTGTTATAAAAATCTAAATAAACACGGATGTGTTTGGTTCCAAAAAGCACTTTTGTTAATTGTACCCATAGCTTCAGATGAGGAAAGCCACTTCCCCTTTCTTTGCATACTTCCCTTTGGTCCAGGTTAATGCCCCAGCAGATCTCCTGGTAGGTAAATGAGTCCACTGCATGGTCACTGGGAAGCAGCAAGGAGTCCCAGTCTGGCCATTTATGAAGTAATGGTGTGGCTCATCAAGCTCAAAGGAGAAAGGTGAAGCAACCCAAAGAAATGGAAATCAGGGCCAGCATAAAATGGAGCCCTCTTCGTAGTACATAGACTCCACTGGACTTAAACCCATGTGTTCTATAAAACCAAACCTGTGGGCAGGGGCGGGGGAGCTGTATTATCGTGTTCTGAAATGCAACCAGTAGTAGGCTTGGTTGGCTACATAAACCAGTCATAGTTTCCTCATGTGGTTACAGCTTCTCCAAAGCTCCACGGAAAAATTACAGTTCCCCATTTAGACCACTTATTCATACAGGGTTCTGTCTTATGAGTCATGGCATGATCTTTGGTCTCCATAGATACATACCAATGTAAGAGTGACTTAGAACACAATGGGGAAAATACCAATTAGAATTACCATTGGAAATCACCATCAGTAAAAATTCTCTCTTTTTCCCCCTTCACCCATTTTATCACTAAATCACAATCTATTAATATAAAAAGTTAATGTAGTAAGAAGAATTCCATTATATTACATTTTCAGGTTCACATGCATACATCTTTAGTTGACAAAGCTAAGTAAATATAAGACTTTTTTTTAAAAAAAAAGATTTACTTATTTACTTGAAAGGCAGAGTTACAGAGAGGCAGAGGCAGAGAGTGAGTGAGAGAGAGAGAGAGAGAGAGAATCTTCCATCTGCTGGTTCACTCCCCAGATGGCCACAAATGGCTGGAGCTGTGCTGATCTGAAGCCAGGAGCCAGGAGCGAGCTTGCTTGCTTGCTTGCTTGCTTTCTTTCAAGATTTATTTATTTATTTGAAAGAGTTACACACAGAGGGAAGGAGAGGCAGAGAGAGAGAGGTCTTCCATCTGCTGGTTCACTCCCCATTTGACCACAACAGCTGGAGCTGCTCTGCTCTGAAGCCAGGTGCCCGGAGCTGCTTCTGGGTCTCCCACTGGATGCAGAGGCCCAAGGACTTGGTCTGTCTTCTACTGCTTTCCCAGGCCATAGCAGAGAACTGGATCAGAAGTGGAGCAGCCGGGACTAGAACCGGCACCCATGTAGGATGCCAGCACTACAGGTGGCAGCCTCATCCACTATGCCACAGCACCGGCCCCATGACATACTCTTTAACATTCTATTTTATTCTTTCTGATGCTGGTGTTGTGTTTCATTCATAAGTCATGTGAAACTTGCTTGCAGAATTTTCCTGAAACTGCTTATCCTTTTTTACATACAGATTCACCTATTTTCTCTAATCTATAATTCAGTGAACAAATATTCAACAACTTCTGTATGCTATGTGCTGGGGCTGTAAAGCTTAATCAGATAATATTATGATACTTAAGGAACTGTCAATGGAATGACACATATAGGTAAATATGCCATTTTCATATAGATGGGAAACACAGTATCCCAAGCATGAAAAACAACTAAGGTTGGCAAGTGTTTATTGAAACTGAGTCAGGTAATGTCAGAAGCATGAGCAAAGCACCCAGCAGTTTATAAATGAATCTGGGTTGTGCTCTGAGAACCCAAGGGCAGGAGCGATGCACCTGCGTCAGTGCTGTGTAGGGAGCAGAGCCGCGCCGTGATGGGCCTTGACCCACTTCAGGGCTGGTGCGGCCTGTGTGAGGGAGAAGTGGTGAGAAGATCCAGCTGGCTGAGACCTAAGCCTCTCCTGGAAAGACATGGAGGTTGGGGTTGAGGAACCAAGAAGAAGCCTGGGACGTGGGACCTGAATTCTAGCTGGACTCATTGTCAACCTAACGCAACAGGCAAGAACCGTGTATCTCTGTGCCCCTGCGCAGAGAAATCACCCAGTGGAGGCAGTGTCTCGGGCAGTATTTATCTGGAGGGAGGAGTTCTGACTGCAGTGTGTCCATTTCCACTGTAAACTTTTGGGAAAGCCTGAGCGTAAATCCCTCCGAAACAACTCTGGTTAACATTTTTCGTGTGTATCTTTGCAAGTTTGAGGGGTTTTTTTTTTTTTCTTTTCGTTTTTTACAAAATTGAATTCATACTTCCTGTAACTTTTTAAATCCGCTGTTTACCCCCCACCCTGGCTTAGAACAACTTGAACATTTTCCCATGTCATCAAACACTCTTCAGCAATGTCATTCTTAATGATATTCCCTTCTATGAATGTGCCACAGCTATATTTAACCACCCACTGAACATTAAAATCCTTTCCAATTCTGAACTGTTAGGATTCATGCTACAATGAAAATCTCTGGCTATGTCTTTCCACGTATTTCTAGTTATTTCCTTAAGGTAAATTTTCAAAAATCTTGACTCAAAAAATAATAAAAAATTGCCGGCGCCGCAGCTCACTAGCCTAATCCTCCACCTGCGGCGCCGGCTCCCCAAGTTCTAGTCCCAGTTGGGGCACCAGATTCTGTCCCAGTTGCTCCTCTTCCAGTCCAGCTCTCTGCTGTGGCCTGGGAGGGCAGTGGAGGATGGCCCAGGTCCTTGGGCCCTGCACCCACATGGGAGATCAGGAGGAAGCACCTGGCTCCTGGCTTCAGATTGGTGCAGCGCGCCAGCCATAGCAGCCATTTGAGGGATGAACCAATGACAAAGGAAGACCTTTCTCTCTGTCTCTCTCTCTCTCTCTCTCTCTCTCTCTCTTACTGTCTAATTCTCCCTGTCAAAAAAAGAAAATAATAAAAACTAAAGTTCAAGCCAACACGTATGGATAATCAAGGTTGTTGGTATAAACATATTTCCACTTAGAAATATGAAATGAATGTGGTGTGCAGCATGGCTTAGATGAGAGATTTTATGAGAAGCAATTCACCGTAGCAGGACAGAAGTTCAGTGGTGTAGTCAGATGAGTTGGGTTCACATCCTGGCTCCTCTCGCTTTGTAACTTCAGTCAGATAAATTAACTTCTCTGTTTTAGTTTCTTCCCATGTAATGAAATAATTTATATGAAGCAGTTAGAGCAGTTCCTGGCACACAATAGTTGACATTATTGAGTTGCTCTTAGTATTAGTTTGCAACAATTTAGATTTAAAGTGATGAGAGCCTAGGTTAAGTTAATGAGAGGAAAGACACAGAGGGAGAAGTCTTTGATGAATCAAGACTCAATGGCTAATTGGCTATATTGGCCAAATGAGACCGGGAAGTTAAAAAAAAGAGTCAGTTTCTTAAGCCTGGAAAAGTGGAAGTTTCAGTAGTACCAGATGGCATCTGGCTTGGAGCATACTGAAGTGGACACCAGCTGATGTGTCCAGCACAGGGCAGAGAATGAAGAGGAGAATGTTGGTTTGGGAGTGATCAGAAGTGACCTGCTGGCAGGAAAGTGGTGGATACACAGGGTTGAGAGAGCAGGGCTTAGGACCCCGGACGACGGGAGGCGGAGTACAGATAGAGAGCAGCGAGCAGCAAGACAAGGCCCCCAAGAAGCAGGAGGAGGAAAGGGAATCAAAGTTGTGGAAAACATGGGAGGATCAGCGTCCCAAAGGAGAGGGCAGTTGGCAGCCACAGGGGGAGCTCAGAGGTGGCAAGAAATAAAGCCCATTCCTGGTCCTGGGAATTAAGTTAAGACAGGGCAGGCTTTGTGGTGCAGCACGTAAGATGCTGTTTGCGATGGCGCACAACCCATGCGGAGGTGCCTGGATTCGAGTCCTGGTTCACTTCCAATCCAGCTTCTGGCTAAAACACACACTGGGGGGCAGCAAGTGATGGCGCAGGTTCTTGGGTCCCTGCCTCCCACATGGGAGACCCAGATGAAGTCCCAGGCTCCTGGCTTCAGCTTGGCACAGCACAGACTCTTGTGGGCATTAGGGAGTGAACCAACAGATGCAGGATCTCTGTCTGTCTCTCTTACTCTCTTGCTCTTTGTTTCTCTGCCTTTCAAATAAAATGCAAATAAATAACATAAAGTTTTTAAAAATAAAAGTAAGAGAGTTTGAATTTACTTTCTGTATTTTATGATGATTCTTATTTTTTTCTTCAAGTCTCAAAACTTTCTGTCAGTCACTGTGCTTCCTTGATCATTTTTCAAACATGACTTAGAATTTTTTTTACTCTGTACATTGCATTTTAAGAAAACTTGGTAAGCAGTTTGCCCTCCAATTCTCCCTGAAACAGATCTTGGTTTTCATTCACTGTCATCTTCAGCACAGTTGCCTGAGCATTTGGTTCATGTAACCATTAAAAACGCATGAACAAAAAAATGCTGTAAAATAAACAAGACTGCAATATTTTATGCAATAATCACTTGCCAAGTCTCCCCTTTGAAACTGAAGCCATTTTTGTGTCATTGAAGTGGAGTAGAATGATCCATAAACAAGATTTCTTTGGGGGTTTTGTATTAAAACAGATGAAATCATTTTAAATAAAAATGTTAAAAGCATTTACTTCCTAGCTCAACCCAAGCTCGATCCAGAAAACTACTCATCATTCATCCAACATTTAAAAAGCAAAGCAAAACTAAGTTTTGGTCCCTGATTCACTTGCTGGGTAAACCGGGGAGGACATTTCCAGACAGAATCCATCACTAACGTAAACCATCTCTCCTTCGATGCTCTTCATGCAAGGTGCTGTCCCCTAATCATTGCACTGTTCTGGCACTTTGGGGTGTGGCTTACTGGCACTCAGTTCTTGCTTTTTAACTTGCCATGCACCTCTTACTGGCATTGGCTACCAGGCCACCTCCTGCTGGTTGCCTGCTGCTCGTGTTTCCAGGACAGTTCGTTCTGTTTTGCTTTTAAACTTAACTGGAAGTGTAATTTCTCTGTCTTCCTGCTCTACCTGGCTTGGCATTAAATCATTCTTAGAGTGATTCCCCCCTCCCCAAACACGTAGCTGCGTGTTTCTTACATTTCTTCATTAGATTCAGCTTAAACTTTTTTTTCCTTCTGTTTTCTGCGATTTCCTGGGTGCCCAGCACAGCCCTGAGCCCAGATGGGTTCTTTATACCGGCTGTTTGACAAGGATTTGAAGGAGGGAATGAGGAGATCTTTTTTCTCTCTTTCTTGCCTACAGCTGCTCTCAATGTGGCTCCTCATGACTGAAAGGAAATGAATAAAGATGAGTTATCTGAACTGAAAACCAGCCACAGAGCAGAAGCAATTCATACTCCCCAACCCATCCACGGAGCCAGTGGGGAGAAACAAGTCTTTGCCATCATTTATTTACTCACATATTTTTAATGGTGGGAGGATTATTTTTTAAGTCGCATACCTTTGAGTAGTGGCCATTTGGAGTGTTTGTGAAAAGCCATATGGTTTCAAATGCGATTCCCATCACATTCTGTGCATTTGAAACAGTTTATGCTGCGCCTCTTGGCACGGTGCACACTTGGAACATGAGCGGATCCGTGAACACACCGTAGACAAAACTAAAGAACATGCAAATAGCATTTAAGGAAATGTTGGTGGTTTGAAATGCCATTTTTGGGTCATCCTTTATTTGGATGATACAACCTATATTTTATTTTGAGCAGCTATAATTTCCGTATTTTGTATATTACATGTCTCTAGTGATTAATTCCTTTTTTAAAAAAGTTTTTATTTGAGAAGCAGAGAAAGAAAATGAACGAGAGAGAGAGAGAGAGAGAGAGAGGGAGGAAGGGAGCTCTTCACTCACCAAATGCCTACAGTCAAAGCTGGGAACAGGGAACTCAATCCAGGTCTCCTGTGCGGGTGGCAGGACCCCAGTCACAGGAGCAGTCACCTGCCACTTCCCAGGGTCTGCTTTAGGAGGAAGCTGGAGGCAGGACCTGCAGCCACAGAGCGAACCCAGGTACCCAGTGTGGGATGCTGACTTCCTAGCCGTTAACTGTGAGGCTAAATGCCAACCCCCTAGCAATTAATGTCTATCCTGTGTCCTAGGTATCTTCAATCCTCGGGAACATTCCAAATAGGGAAACATGCGGAGAGAGACTTTTAAATCTGGGTCCAAATTGGGATGAAGGATGAGACATCAGAGAAGTTGCTGAGTCACACATTTCACTCTCTTACTTTCTCTGTAAGAAGAAAGAATGTATGTGAGTATGGGAGGCGGTTTCTAAGTGAAACCAGCTCATGTGCCCAGAGACTTCAGGGCACGAGCGCCTGAACTCCTGCACAGTCATCCTGGTGAGCAGGAGCCTCATGGTGGCTTGTCCTTCAGAGGCCCCGTGGTGCCCCCAGCCGGACCTGAGACTCGTACAGACGGGTTCACATCCCAGCAGCCTATCCTTTGCTGACTGTGCGTCCGTGAGCAAGTGAGTAAACCTCTCTGAGGTCCATTTTCTGCCTACGCAAGTGCAGATGATAATACCAATATCACAGAGCTGCTTTGAGCATTAAATGAGAAAAGCAGGACACCAAGTACCGCCTGTTACCTGAGAGGCATAGAAGTGTTGCGGCATAGCCATCAGGGGTTCTGGTTCTGCAGTCAGCTGTCCAGATTTCAGCACCAGCCACGAGCCTTATTACCAGAGGCCTTGGGAGGGCAGCTGCCATCCCTCACCTAGAAAGCAATGGTAATCGTACCCGTATTCCATAGACGTGGTGGGAGCTGACTGACACGATACAGGTATAGTGCTTACACCACTGCCAGCCTGGCACATGGAAAGTGCTCAACACTCTCAGGCTGACCTTGCAAGATAACTGGACAGATGGCCATTAATGTGTGGGACTCCAGGTAGGCTGTGATCAAACAGTAACCAGCTGCTGCCATCCCTGCCATCAAGTGTGGAGTCCCACTTCACACTGGGTACCCTCTGTTAGATCCCCCTGGTTCACCAGGGCTGCAGAAGTGTCTGGCCCGGCACTTAACCACCTGTGATGGTACGCTACTTCTCCAAAGCCATAATGATTGCAGAGCTCCAAGGAACTTTGTTTTTCTCATAGTATCACGTTGCCAGACGCTGAGTTTTCTGACATCCAGTCAGACTGCGGCCCTTGGGGATTCATTCTGTTGGGATTGGCCATAGTTTATGTATTCATGGAATATGAAACAGTCTCTGATTTCTAAGAAGTTGTCTATGAAGTATTGTCCTATCCAAAGTAAATTACATTATTTTGCAAATCGCTGTAGAAATGGAAGACTATGAGAGGCCGTATTCCAGAGCAGGTGTTGGGCTTAGTGGTCCTTCTGCTCTGATGGAAATAAGGAGCTAAGGGTTAGCATCTCTGTTCAGTGTAGGTACCGTCAGGTCACAGAAGTATTTAATGCCCAGCTCTCTAGAAGCAATTCACACACAAAGAAAGAGCTTCCAGAAGATAATGAAAATTGTGTTGTGTTGAGCAATATGCTTTTCTCAGGAGAAGAAAATGGTTAATATCTGTGAACACTGAATACCCCACGAAAGGAATATGCTCTTGTTGGGGGGGGGCTATTTCAGTTTAGTGCTTCACGGTCATAGAGCTGACACAGAGCTGATACTCTAGGAATTGCACTCAGAAAGCGCCCTTGTAATGAGAAACAGCACTGTTTAGGCAAACAGTTTCTGGAAACAGAAAATGCTGACTTGGCAGTCATGACTGTGGGATCCTGTGTTTTCTAACGGAAACTGAATTGTGGAGTCAGTTTTGCTAAGAAAGTTGAAGGTGTTGGAAGTCAGGGAAGTAAGTGCTGTGGGCCGTTCCCATGCGAGAGCACTGCAGCCGCAGATCGCTCAGCACCAGAGGACTGTGGCAGTGCGGCTGTCTGCTGATGGTTTCTGAGATGCCATCTCATCCTCTCCCCGACTGTTGCCACTGAGCATCGAGAATCATGAACGCTGAGAAATGTGGAAATGAGACTTGAAATCTGAAATAGAGCTGATTATTCAAATTCTGTGTTATCCAAGCACTGCCCCAAGTGTACTACCAGACAGGAGGGAGCAGAACTGTGCCAGCAGTAAGGAGACAGGGAAGCACCCCACGGGGTTACGAGCACAGTAGTCTCAGTAAAAGGAGATAAGTGCGGCTGCCTGCAATGCCAGCATCCTGTATGGGCACCAGTTCATGTCCCCAATCCAGTTCCCTGCTGACGGCCTGGAGAAGCAGTGAAGGATGGCCCACGTGCTTGGTCCCCTGCCACCCACGCGGGAGACCCAGAGGAAACTCCTGGCTCCTGGCTTCGGCCTGGCCCATCCCCGGCCATTGTGGCATGGGCCAGCTGATGGAAGATGTTGTTCTCTGTCTCTCTGTCTCTCTCTCTCTCTCTCTCTCTCTCTGTCTCTGTAACTCTGACTTTCAAATAAATAACTCCTTAAAAACAAAATGAGGAAAGAAAATTAGAAACAGCAGTCTGAGTTGTGCATCACAACCAAGATTCTTCCAGAAGAAAGACAACAGGACCAAAACAGGGCAACCAGTCCCAGACAGGGCCTCACAGGTAACTGAAGGCAGATTCTGGAGTTTGCCCACGGTGGTATTCCTAGAGTGCCTGCCACAGCCGTCGCTGATGGTGAGGCGGGTGGAAAAGCACTGCAGTAGGTCAGATGAGCCCCGCTGAGCTTGGCTTTTCCTCTAGGTTCCAGCTTTCTTGCCATACACGACCATGTTGATGTATGACGAATGGTAAGACGGTGTACACATCCAGCAGCTGGGTTCAGCATTTGTCTCCAGAAGGGTGCTGCTTCTGTATGAGGAAATACTGACTCGAGGTTACATTTGGAAGTGAGATCCATGCTAAGGTGGGAAAATGAGATGATTAAAAAAAAGTAATAAAGAGAAAGGAGCCATTTGGGTGGCAAAACACCGTGTGCCTTTGGCGCTGCCTTCTCCACATCTTCAGCAAATTTCACTAAATCATCTTGTATGAGCTGAAGTTCAGTGCTTGTGGTGCGTTCCAGCAGGTGGGGAGAGCTCAGGAGCCCAGGTCCTGAGAACATCAGTGCCACCCCCACCCTGAGTTTACAGAAATCTTGGGGACTGTGGACCGCCATGGGCTGAGGAGTTGGCATGGTCCCTACCAGTTTTTCCCAGATTTAAAAGGCAGAAAAATGTCCAGCCATTGTCTGGATTATATCTATAAAGGTTATATTATGACAGAGGGGAAAAAGAAAGTCAAATAAGTGACGGATGGTCTACAAATACGTGTTCTGAAATGTTCAGTTCAACAGGTGACTGAAACCTATTGCCACAGCTTAGTCTGTAGTTGTCTATTGAGTTGAGTTGTCCAGGTTTGTAGGTTGTCAGACATACTCTGCACACTGTATTATGGGGCTTCAAAAAGCTCATGGAATGTGGAGTTGAAAGATATTCTTATTTTGGTGCCCAAAATTGTGAAATCCATGCATAATTTCTCCATAATGTGCATCTTCCATCAACTTTTTGAAGATTTCTTGTGTATCTCAGCTTTTCATTACTACAGTGAGAATACCTGGGACAACTCAGAGAGAGAGAGAAAGAGAAAGAGAGAGGAGGAGGAGGAGAGAAGAGGGGAGAAGAGAGAAGAGGAGAGAGAGAGAAGGTGGGCCCCTGGCAGGCTTTATAACTAGCCCTCTTGCAAGAATTACCTTCCCAGGGCGCACCTCCCAATGCCCTAAGGATCTCCCACTAGGCCCACCTCCTAGATACTATAATCGGATTAAGTTCCCACCCTCTCACTGCCATTAATGTATGACTCTGGCATTTAAACATCTGCATAAGTTTGGGAGCCAAATCTGTTCAAACCACAAAACCTCTAGTACGTATTTTTAGGGATCTTTTCTTCAGATTTTTAATGATAACCCATCCTTGGTATTTCCTTTTTTCATTTACTTTATTATATATTCAACAACTCTATTTAGTGTACCTGGATGCTGTGTCACAAAGTAATACAACTGCCCTTACAAACGTAAAAATCTCTGCTTCTGTATAGCTGTATCAGAGACGTAAGTATTTACACCACAGTTCATTTATCATGTGGCTGAGGGCAGCTCACAAATGTATATACAATACAAAAGATGGAATAAATGTTAGCCCTCTCGAGGCCCTGCCTCTGGGAGCTCGCAGTGTTGCTCGGGGAGGAATGTGGGATCCACAGAGACCACGGAGAGGCGGGGGATGGGAGGGGCAGGGGTGTCAGGATTCTGAGTCAGGAGCTGGCATTGTGGCGCAGTGGCGGGGCCACCACTGGCAACACAAGCATCCCATGTGGTTCGAGTCTCAGCTGCTCCACTTCTGATCCAGCTCCCGCTAATGCACCTGGGAAAGCAGCAGAAGATGACTCAGGTCCTTGGGCCCCCTGCTGCCTGGCCTAGCCCCAGGCATTGCAGTGGATAAACCAGTGGATGGAAAATCTCTCTCTCTGCCTCTCTCCTCATCCTCTCCTTCGCCCTCTGTAACTCTGCCTTTCAAGTAAATAAATAAATCTTTTTTTAAAAAAAGATTCTGAATCAGAGGACACTGCTTTGACCTGAAGCCTCATGGTCAAGGTGGCATCTGCCCTGGGTCTGGATGAGTCAGGCCCCTGCAGGTGGACAGAGGAGCTGCTAGGCAGACAATCAGCTGGGACGGCCAGGATGCGGAAAGAGTAGATGTAGAAGCGAAAGACTGAGTTTACTTCTTATAGAAACCAAGACATTCTCTGTGAAATTTACAATATATCCCCCAGAAAAATATGACTAATGGGGCTCTGAAGAGCAAGGTTTGTCGCTCAGATAAACTCTGCTGCTTTGTGCTTTGGTTCCAGGTTACAGCACAAACTGTTCCCAGGATAGGCCCATCCTGAAGACAGCTGTAGAAAGAGCCAACAGGCCAAAACCATGCTTTTACAATTAAGTCATCGACCTGCTCATTATTTTAATTGCATTCCCTTATTAATAAGCCCTTACCTCTCCTGTTGCAAAACAGTTTGGAACAGGCAACTTCTATATAACCTGTAAAACCAAGTGAGCCTAAAATGTCTCTCAAGATCTAAGATAC